GGGGTCGCCGGGGGGGTCCGGGGTGCGCCGGCGCCGCGCGGGACCCGGGAAGGCGCACGGCTCGCTTACCTGGTAAGTAATACAGAGGCGGCTTCAATCCAAACATGATTCAAATTAGAATTCCATAGTGGCCAGAGAGGGATGAAGAAGGAAAAGATAAGATTACAACCCAGCAAGGAGACAAAAAGCGCCGTCCAAGCCACGGCGCTCAAAAATGTCCAAAACAATAAAATAAAGGCAGAAGAACGATCCTGAGAGCGGTGGAAAAAAAAACACAACAGCTCAGTCTTTTGAAAACGTCTCCCTCCCCGGGATGGTCAGAAGGCTCGCGCTCCAGCCAGCGTCCGGGCAGCTTCGGCCACCTTGGCCCTGGCAGGTCCACAATGAGGTAATTGACGGCCGAGCAGCGGCCGGAGCCTCGCGGCTGCCGGGTGTCTTCGCCGCGTGTGTATTTTCTGCCTTTTGGACTTGAGATGCAAATAAAAAAGGAGGGGGAGCGCGGCGGAGGGAAGCAGGCGGGAGCGCGGAGGGCTGCGAGAGAAAAATAAAGGGGGGAGCCGAGGGTGATGAAATTGGGGGGTTAAGATCTTCAGGGATTACTCATTTGAAAAAAGAGAGAGAGGGAGAGGGAGAGAGCGGCGCCCAAGACGTGCGAGTAGCAATCTCTCCTCCATTCAGCCATTTGAATGTCAAGGGCGAGGGTCAAGAGACCTGTTTCCAACCGGGCTTCACGTTCAGAACCAGAAGGAAAAAGGAAGGGGGGGCGGCAGGCGGGGGTATCTCTTGTTGCCAAGGAGAAATCGGCTTTGTTTTCGTTTCCCCTTAGCTACTGGGTGGGGGGGAGGGGGCGCGCGGGAGAGGGGAGAGGAGAAAATTAATACCCAAACAGCCAAGAAGTACCGAGGGGGAGATTTCTTCTCGTAAATAAAAGAGGCGGCGGTGGCAAACAAGTCTCCGGCTGGAGAAAGCAGGCCGACGAGCCGGCTCCCCTCCCCCTCTCGCCACCGACACCCTCCACCTTTTTTTCCTTTTTGGTTATCTCTCCGGCCCGGCGTCCCACCACTACTCGGAGGCCAGGGGTGGGGGAGAAGGAGGAGAAAGAACTCAGGGGCGCCGGTGCCCCGGCAGAAGGAAGCAGGAGGCGAGAGCGCGCGCCGGTGGAGAGCCCCTCGATCAATTTTCATGCAAGAATCATTATCGGTAAATTGGAAAGCTGGCTGCCTGACAGCAGATTTGTCTCCCCTAATGAAAGCGAAAGGGTAGGGGCGCAGCGGCGGGCGGCTGCAGGCGGCGGCGGCTCCTTCCGTCTCTACGCGGCATCTTCCAAGAGCTCCATGCTTCGTAGGGCGATAATAATAGTTTCACTTGCGCGCTTCCCCCCGCGCGGCCGCCAAGGCCGGCGGCAGCTCCATGCGGATCGGGATCCGGATGCAGAGAGCTGGGCTCCCCTCGCCAACCCCGGGGAGGGTGCTGCTGCCGGCGGCGGGGTGCTGCCCTCTGCTCCAGAGCGGGGGCCGTTTGCAAACAGCGCCGACGGCGGGCGCCGCCGGTCCCCCCTCCGGCTGCCCAACCAACTCCGCGCTCTGGCCGCCCGCCCGCCCTCCCTCCCCACCCACGTCTGACAGCTGCGGGAGCGACGAGTTCACTCGCCGCCGGGACCTGGGAGGAGGATCCCCCAAACCGTGCCCGGGGTGCTCTGGGCCGCCTGTGGGCTGCGGAAACTGCACACCGCCAGCCGCGGGGTGAGCGCCCAGGGCGAGAGGCGGGTCTCCTTCCCTTTCCTCTCACCCCGCACCCCACCCCTTAAAAATCCCTGTTGCAAGTGTAATCAAATGCTTGATACCATCTCCCACACTCTCCCTGCACCGGTGCATTATCAGATCCGGGAAGGCATGCTTCCAGGCAAATAGACCTAATAAATGCTATTACTGGGATTCTGCAAGCCCCGGCTGCACCATAGTAACGAGGGCCCTGGCTAATTTGGTTTAAGAAGACGATCAACTGCACAGAGTGTGTGTGAGTGTGGAGCCTGTATCTCTACTCCCCACGCCGCCTCTTTCACACCAGCTCAAGAAGGCCCCATGTGATAATTCCCCAAGTCGAAGGGGAAAAAACCCCGCCGCCAAACCACATCCTGCGCGCTCATTGTCCAGCCCAGCTATTTTAAAGAGACAGGATCCATTTACCCACGCCCGACCCCGCCACACACACACTCGCAGGCTCGCTGCAGAGCTGCCTCTCGGTGTGAGCATTTATTTCCAAGCCCTTTTACCTTGGGAAGGGCCCTCCGTGGCATGGCCAGCCGGAATTGAGACCCGGTGACATGAAGATGTCACCTTTTGACCCCAGATAAAATCATCTGGCTTTGAGGGGCAGACCCGCGCCCGCAGGTAGGCACTGTGGGGCACCGCGGTCACGCCAGGCTTGGGTTGCTGCCAAGGCTTTCCAGCCACTGCATAAATCAGGGGTCCCCCGCGGCAGCCCCGGGGTCCCTGCTAAACGCGGCAGCTTCAGTGACAATTGAACTCCCCGAATGTGATACTCCAGGGGAGGGCTCTGAGGGCACCCTGGAGCGGCGCGGGGCCCGACCAGCCCCGGACCCCTCCCGCACGCTCCCCGCCCCACCATCTGAGGGCGCGGGGCGGAGCGCTGG